AGTTACTGACGCTGTAAGAAATGGAAGAATTGTAATAGGGCAAGAGAGGCCTGCAGATGCATGATCCAAGTTCAACTGTCGCATCAAGCCTCCGCCGCGCTCCAAGTGCCCGTGATCAAGATTGTGTAATGAGAAAGACAGAGAGACAGACACAAACATTCGAAAACTCGTCTTTCATCAGTGCCCTTTTTGAAACCGCGGCGAGCTCGGGTTTGGTTCTGGAAACAGGATGTGGGCAGGAGAGCTGGGCATCTGCCACATGCCACGGAGCCCCGGGAGCTCATTTGCATAGGTTATGTACAGTGTGTGTGTGTGTGTGTGTGTGTGTTTGGACGAGTGTCTGGTTTATAGCTGGCCAATAAAATCCTCGCATTCTTGTGCGTCTGCGTACTCGCCTATTGTCAGTCTCTGTGTGTCCGTGTCCACATGCAAATTGGGTTCATGCCCCCTGTTTTGTGTAACGCTTTAATGTTCGTATCCAAGAAGGGCGTGCGTGTTTGTGCGTGTGTGTGTTTGTGCATAAACGTGTGTCTGTCTATGTGCTTGGTCCCTCCCCCGTGTCTTGCGTAGGCTTCTTTTCCCGGCACAGCACCATGCATGGCATTCCCGTTGGCACCGTCTTCGGCCCACCCTGGAAAAAGACAGGCAGCCAGGCTGTCTGTCTCCCTCAGTCTGCCATCAGCCTTCACCTCTTCATCTTTACGCTCCGACAGCGTGCGGTCGAATAACGAAACATAAAGAAGGGTCAGGACAGAAGCAAAGTTTAGTCGAAATATTTACCCCGAGCGAGGAAATAAATCTTGAGCTGAGACAAATTTCCACAAAACAAAAACCACCGTTTCAGCCACCACTTGGACCCAATAGAAATTTAACTTTGGCAATCTGCTCTCTCATTGTGGTTACAATCTATTGCCGTCAAAACAACCCAGCGAGTAAATACAACCCCTTTGAAAAGAAAATGTTAAACGCAATACAATGTGAGTGGTTAGCATTTAGAAAACTGAAAGACAAGCTGCTTGACTCTCAATTTGCTGAAGAATCCCTCTATTTCCTGTCATCTCGCTGCTACTCAGCAGGGAATGCCCATCAAAATACTTTGGGAGAGATCTAAGACCTAATTTGGACTTGGAGTCAAGTTCCCCCCTTTAATGGAGGGGAGATTTGACGTGGGACTTTGTTTGACTGAAGTCTTATGACCTAACCCTCCCCAAATTACAAAAAAACAGGTCTGCAGACCTGCGGGCCACTATGCAGATGATGCCACTCAATTCAACATAAACAGCACAAATTCTCCAGCGTACTCATGCACATCAACGCACGTCATTCAAACAGTGTGTGACAGTGTTTAGGAACCGTAACGTAGCAATGCGTAACAAAAATGAAACACTTTGCATGCAGTGAAACCTCTCTGCTAGCGGTTGGAGGAGACTGTTTGGTTTCAGTCACTTAAAATCGGAGTATGATCCCGGTCGGGAAGCCCGCCTCTCGGCTTCATTATGGCTCGGTGTGCTGGAAAGTCTGAAAGCCTCAGACTGGTTTAAACAAACAAATAAGCCCAGAGGGAAAATGTGGGAAACACAGGCAAACACCAGCACCTTGGCTTGAACAACGAGCACTCATTACTGCTCAAAGATGGCTTGTTTTATGCTGAGACGGCATCAGCTTCGTGATCTATGATTAATTTTGTCGTGCCGCTTCTGTTTTCCTCCCGTGAACCTGATTAATTTTCTGTAGTTTCCAGTGGGTGCGTTTTTTGAGGCGGGGGGTTGAAATATCCATCTCAGAGAATTCTGTCCCAACGCTGACGCAACGGAGGAGAATGAAATATTATTTGTGGAGCTTCCATGTCTACAGAACAACATCAGTGGGATAAATGCGTAATTTAATTGGTGAGGTTTGGTGAACCCTCCCCAAAAATAAATCGGCTTAATAACCTCAAGACTAAGTTCAAATTAAACAACGAATCACTGTGATAATTGATCATTTTAATTCGAACCATTTCCGAGCTCTACAACCAAATTCCATTCAGCTCCAGGGCAAATTAAATATACACCATCTGCCCAGCTAGCTAAGTGATGAAGTACTGCATGTCTTCTTGTAATTTGGGGTGACTATAAGTCCTGGGGTAATTTTGAGACTCAATGCACCTCCAACCTCTTCAGCTCAGAAACCAACGTAGCACCCCTTCTCTGTTGCCCTTTTAGTCAGGGTTCTCATACCACACCCTATAGAAGAGGGTCTACTAAGTTATTGCTATAATCCATCCATCCATCTGCAAACTGCTTATCCTGCACACAGGGTCATGGGGGGGTTTAGGTTAGGGTAATCAACCTGATCCCCAGAGCATGTCTTTAGACTGTGGGAGGAAGCCGGAGAACCCGGAGAGAACCGACGCAGACACGAGGAGAACATGCAGACTCCACACAGAAAGGCCGCTAGGCGGAGACGAAGCCAGGACCTTCTTGCTGTGAGACGACAGCGCTGACCACCACGCCACCGTGCCGCCCTATTGCTATAATGTCAGAGTATATTCACATAGCTCAGATGCGAAACCGTGAACATTCATTATCACACACAATTCAACACACACTCAGCGTAAACAGGCAATTCAATACTGTGCAATGATTTAATTGTCGGTAAGATGGTATATACGTCGCCGCGCATGTCGGAGCTCCAGGAAATCGTCCACCCAGAAAAGAGCGGTTGGTATTCACAGTTCATTGAGTGACGCCAAGGGCGAAATGTGGTCGGTGGAAGGTTCCCTTTTCAGAACGCCAGGTTCCAGTGGTCCACCGACCGCTTTTCGCACTCGGCGCTACTGCAGTCCTCGTCGCGATGATGAAAAGTCATCCTGGAAAAAGACACTGAAGTGAATTTGTGCAGTGTAAATGATAGATCGCGCTGATGAAGTAATTGTAAGTTATGAGGCTGACAGACGGCCCCAAGAACATTGCAGTGGCTGCAGTTCTCATCTCCAAAACTATTTTTGTGAGATACTATCTAACTTCAGAGCGAACACACAAGCTTAATTAATGAATGTTATGTCTGGGCGCGTAATGTTCTTTGAAATACCATTCAATCATTGCTGCTGGCCTCTAATCATTTGGGATTTACAGTATGATGAACAGTTGGAGCCGCCGGACGTTGATGTCTCTGCTGAGGGTCTTCTTCTATTTCGTTTACTCTTCTTTTTATTTGTTGTTCACATTTTCTGCTGTTTTTAAAGTGGGGTTATTTGACTTGGACTGACCCTTGTATGGTGTGTAGGAGGAATCCAGCACAGTTTGTAAAGTCACCTAAGGAGGATGGAGAAGCTGTTTGTGCCCACATTGTTTTTTCGGGTGAAATTCATGACTTTCTATTTACAAGAGGCTCGCTCCGCTGGGCCTCATGTCACTCTCCAGTGTCCAAAACTGCTGCATCGCGCCTGCACTGATGAAACACTGTCACCTCTCTACTGGCTTCTCTGACCTTTTACTAAAACACCTCCTCAGTCTTCAGCTCGGTTACCATAACTGGGCAGGGTTTGGATTTCTCCACATGCAGATGCGATGTTCAGGCATTTAAGCAAAGTAAGCGGTTGTTAGCGTCTTCGGCTACATCCAGCAGGTGAAACTGTGTAGTATTTCCTCACTGTGTGGAAGATACTCCTTGATGCTACCGTTTGTAAGGGTGGCCAAGTAACCCTAAGAAACTGCAATTAGTTTATTTTAATGTCGTCCACATGGATCATCAACGTGTGATAGGGTAGGTTTTACCTACATTGTGCACATTTATGACCCAGTTTACCGAGTTTTTTGAGACGCGTCAGCTTCAAACGGTAAAAAGTCCGCAAGATAAATTGTTTTCAACCCACAACGGCAGATGTTCACGTTTCACCTGGAAAAAACTTTCAATAGATAACCAGAAATAAAGAAGCCTCAGCCTCCGTCTTAATCCGGGGAGCTATTCCTATAACGTCCTTGATTCCCATGGAAAATAAAAATGAGCACTAACATGCCTCACGTTGAAAACTCAGAGTTTCCATCAAGATGTATTGTGATAACCTTAAGTAAGACTAAGTAGTCATACAATAAGAAGTTAAATGTGTTTTCTTCTGATTGTGGCTTTATTGATTCTACATGGACTACATATCCCCGGCAGTGGCCATTAGTTCAGTAATGGCGGGTAAACATTGGAGACAAGCGCAAGGCAGAGAAACACAATCAATGCCTTCAGCCTGCGGAAATATGATCTCGCACTTGGATGCCTTCAAAGTGGCTCGGCACCTCTGCGAAAGAGCGAAAAACAGAGTCAGTGTCCCCTTAAGGGATGTCTCGCAGAGGTAGGTTGAAAAGCTGCACAGAATGAAGGAGAGGAGGTGCGTTCGTGTACGAGTACATTTCACACTGAGTGACACTTGGGAGAAAGACGGAGGGAGGAAATAGAGATAAGGAGAAAGGGAGACAAAGACGGAGAGGCACAACATTGCATTAGGCACTTAGAGCCATTCCTCTCTGGCTAAAGGCTAATGCAATTGCCACAATAAGAGTGTCTCGGTGGAGGCTGTACAAAAAAAAAACAGAGAGGGGAATGAAAGAGGAGAGGCAGGCAAGGAGGGAAGGAGAGGAGGGAGGAGGGAGGGAGGGAAGAAGGAGAACTGGCAGCTCTTCCTCCAGACTCTCGTATGGACCGTGGATCTCGTGGGACAACTGGTTGAAAGTGTCTCTCTGTCTCCGCTGTAACTCCCGGCTGAGTGGCTCGGTGCTCTGCTGTGTCTCCAGAGCGATCCGTCAGGTATAGCAGGGAGGAAAGACCGAGAGAGAGAGAGAGAGGGAGGGAGGGGGAGGGGGGGGGAGACAACCTGGGTTTGCATGCAGGCGGGCGGCAGTTACCAGCCTGCAGCCGGCTGGGTGTGTGTTAACTCCACATCTGACCTCTATGGGAACGGAGCAGCCTCCACTCCTCCCCTCTCCTCCTTGCAGGCTGTGGGAACAAATGGGACAGAGCTTCATTTCGCCTCTCTCTCCCCCTCCCTCCCTCTCTCTCCCTCTCTCCCTCTCCCACTCTCCCTCTCTGCCTCTTGGCTGGGTCGTCGAGCTCCGGGAAGCGGCCCTTGGACAGAGCAGGACGTGACATGGGACGGCTTCGGCGGGCCCGACCTCGCCGGTGGACTCTGTGAGGTGATGTCGGCGCCGACTGACTCTGAAGTGGCCCAGTTGGCACAGTCAGGCGGCCTGACGCAGTTGTCCGGCCGGTCATCGGGGAGTCAGTGAGTTAGTTTGCCTGTCAGGGAAAATCGCTCAGTGGCTCCCAACTCTGTGGATGTCATCGGCTGAACTCTTGAGGTGACTCAGACTTGCCGTGTAAGAGAAAACGGACCTGTGGGCACGGTAGGTGGCAGACACCCATCTCTGTCTCTCAAGAGCTTTTCCTTCGACTCGTTTCCCCATATGGGTGTTTTTTTTTATTATCTTTGCTCTGTTATGTGCCTCTCCTTATTGTTTTCCTTATTTTTTATGTATTTTTCCTTTGGCAGCTGACACAACACAAGACAGCAGACACTATCAAAGCTTCGGTTGGATGTTATGGATGTTGTGCAGTTGTCACAGTCGAGCTTTGATCTCTTTGTGACGGCCCCCGGGAGGAGAGTGCGTCTCCGTTAGTGTGACAAACCGGTTTCACACCCACCGTCAGCGCATCTCGCAGTGTGTGGGGATCAATGGAAAAATATAATCGCTAACCAATCGCAGCTAGTTTAGAGCGTAGCATGCTGCGTTGATTGATATCAAATCAATGAAGTGAACAGAAAGGCAGGGTAGAGAAGTGTGTCACACACACACACACACACACTCACCTGCACGGCTTCTGGCTGCTGCACCAGCACTTTTTCTCATCAAACTCATGACTGCGTTTTTTAGGGTTTTTTGTACAACGAAATCATCTCGGCACTGTTTGGAAAAGAAGTTTGATTCGATAAACTCTAAAGCGGAGTCCACAGAACATTTCTGGACAAATTGTTCAAATATTTGAACGTGCTCCAGGGCTTTATCTGGGTCTGCTGGATCAGTGTGTGAGAGTGTTTCACACGGACAAAGCTGCTAGAGAAGTATACGGCGACCAAATGCAGGAACATGAATTGCACAAATCATAATAAATAATTGTTTGCAATACTAAACAGGCTGACAGTTAACACCAAACTTTGCCGCTGTATGCATCTTTTAACTTTTGTTTTCACCTTTTTTCTCATATAATGGTTGTATATGTCGTGACGTACCGTCGATATTGATAGATAAAGATTAATTTTATGATTAATTATGAATTGAAATGTTCTATATAATATCGCGATTGTTATTTCAAGTTCAAAGTAAAACACTGACAATTTAACAAAGTAATTGATCAAGTTAACAAATAATTCTTCCAAACCATATCTAACATTTACATAATGAATATTGCAAATAATTAACTGGCGAACTACATGCCATGCCACTGCTGTGTCATGGAGTTTGAGGAGGCAAAAATAACTTAAACTTAAAGTGAGCGTATTTTAACACTTTGTTTCTGTTTTTTTTGGGGAGTCTTTCTGCCCCCTTTGACCAAACATCAGTCCATTCAGCTAAACTAAATTAAACCTCAGAGTAAGGCCTCGCACACTCACTATCCGTGGCAGATGTTGACGAGGGCGTTGCCTAAAGAACAACCAACAGATGTTTGTTATTTGGGTTCTGCTGCTGATTTAACCCTTGGTGTTTAGTGTGTGAGGAGATGCCTGTGTGCGGCCTGTGTCCTCCTTCAGGAGGTACACCTGCGCGATTTGCAGTAGTTTCCTGAGCTTCAGTCTCTTGCGTGCGAGGCTCGCCTCTTTTTTCCTAATTTCCCTGCATTTTGTGTGTTTGCTGGTTCCCCTCAGATCAACCGAGCGCTTAAGTGTTCAGGACAGCATGGTTTCCCTCAGCTCATTCAGCCCGGTCATGCGTCTGCCACAGGGAATTTCTGTCTGAGCCGAGGCAATTACAGCACACATCCAAGGCCATCTCCGCCAGGAACCAAATGAAGGAGCCTTTGATAGGCCCCGACTGATGCGTATTTACTTTTTATGACCAACCAAGTAGTAAACAGCTCGCCGTGCCGGCGCTCGAGCAAGACTTTAAATACGGGACTGTTCACGCACAAGCGCACGCGTTAACACACACAAGTACATGCGCAAACAGACAAAAACTACGCAGCCTTCTCTTCTTCTGTCAATTTAGCAAACACCCGTAGATATCTGCAATTGACTGGCTCTGCCAGCTTGATCTGTTGGCCAGTTTCAGATTTCATAATCAGATTTTTATATATCTTTTTTTCCTTTCTGAGCTGCAGACACGGCAGCAGCAGCAGTAGCCTCCAATTGAAGCCATGTGTGGTGGAAAAACAGGCCTCGGTTTGTGGAGAGATTGCATGCTCGGAAAGGGAGGGAGCCTGCCGGTCACTGAGGTCACGATCCGAACACACCAACTCCTCTTGGCCTTCTCACGCGCCATGCTGACGAATGCATCTCAGAGTCGGTCAGGAAACCCGTCCAAACCTCATTCAGTTCCTCCTTACCACCATCGGAATTTATTACAATTTTACAACTTTTTATTGGGGAGAAGGGAGTTCGCTAATGTTGAGAGGGCGTGGCACGGGACACGCACAAAAAAAGGCGGTCGGTTTAGTTGAGTCAGGCATGAGTGTTTGTACTAGAAGAAGCCACTGTCCTCAAATGAACCAGATGGTCCAAAGGTTTATTTCCTCCACCGCTGCGTCACTCTCGCTCACTCTTACACAACAGCACGTTTATCTCTTTCATCCTCCCTATTCTTTCCATCTTTTATATGCTTCACTTTGGCTCTGCGTCCCTTTGTTCTCAGCTTGTTTCAGAGAGCCTATCCCCTTCCAGTCATAATGTTATCAGCTTATCCACGGCTATTAGCTAATAGCTGAGACAGCTACTACTATCAGATTCAAAGATGCCAGGATGTAATGCAGCTATGCCATTTCCTCTCCTGGACTACAGTAGATCACATTTCTGTCTGCGCATTGAACCAGAACAGTTTTTCCCTTTTCTCTATAGTCCAATGAGAGGTGAGACAGTGCCTCTTTAAAGATAATTCAAATGGTTTAGCTTCAAGTACCTTTTTGGCATAACATCACCAAATCTGTTTCGTCTCACATGTCTTCTTCCGTTTCATTTCCGACAAAAGGTTGGTAATGATTGATTCTGCATGAAATAACATCCCCGCCAAAATTGCATTAACGAAATGCAAAGTGGATTATTGTTAATGGGACACAAGAAAAAAACTCCTGCTTTCCTGCTCTCTTCATCAGTCACATGGCAGGACTGGTTTATTGGGATTGAGTGATCTAATGAGCTAAATTATAAAACTTGGACCCGACAAGCTCTGGTTAATGACTTTTTAATGCTCACGGGGTCTTTAGTTACCTAAAAATGTGTTATTGGTTGAGACAGGGTCGCCCAGTTTCATCCCTCTAATCAATTCTAACACAGTCCAACAACTCGGCCTCTGAAAGAACTCAGCAGGAGCTCAATTGCTTTACGCGGTTTTCCTCCAGTGGCTCAACTTATTCCTCAATTTTACTGCAGCAGATGCATTAAGCAAACATTTTCAACCCACACAGTTGCGTTCACTTGTCTTTCTCTTAACTTAATATGCGAGTTGTTCATGTGTAGGGCTCTAGAATTCCTTCTGCATTCCTTTTTTTCTCAGAGACTCCTTGTTAAGTAGTCAGTCAAGTACTTTGTTTGAAGCGGATCCCTTCAGGGCAACGTATTTATAGCCGTAGTGAAGACGAGGTGAAAAGCGTTTGGTACAAAGAGGGAAATGGGATGACTTTTCGTCACTTTTAGAAGAACTTTTAAGTGTTACACTCATATGAACAAACAACACAGTGACCCGGTTGTGTAATAGTTGTGCAGTAGTGATCTGACTCGCTCACATGTCGGGTGGTTTTTAAGTTGGTGTGATTGTGGTTGGATTGTCAGTTGTGGAAAGTTAAACAAAGCCAACAAATGCCCTACGAGCAGTCTGAGTCACGTTGGACCTTCAAGACTCTGTCTCCCTAAAACGGCTTCAAGTTCCATAAAAACGTACAAACAATTTAGTTTACTTCAGCTTTGAGTGAAATATCCCGACGCAATAACGCTAATGCCGGTAATTGTGGAACAACATTGACCGTCAAGCGATTTCGAATGTGGTTACTTTCATAAATTGGCCAACAATCACAGAAACTGATCCCTTCTCCGTAAATGTCATAGGGGTAAATTACAAAAAAATGACGGTTAACGTAATTTTGGTCAACAAATGTAAGCAAATAAATATATCCCATATGAGAACATGAATAGGCAACTAACCCAGTGTTTTAATCATTTTGTAGGCTTATGTTTTACAATTTAATTTTTAAATGATAGTTCTTATTTTAGGAAAATTGATTTCACTGTCCCCTTATTGAGCAGTATGGAGTCCCACTGTAGCTCCCTTAAGTGCAATTCCTGAGCCGTTCCAAAATGATGTTACAATCCGAAGCTCTTCTTCAGACTCAACATTCTATCCCCATTATCAATAAAAGGTCCGTCTTCATTCCATTGCTTTTAATATGAATCAATCCTGGCTCTTCAAAAAGGTAAACGTTTCTGTTCTTGATCCGTTTTGCTTTGAGAAGTCTCCTAAGTCACTGCCAAGCTGGGACTCACGTTAACAGGCCGTAACCGAAGTTAGCAGCTCTCTGAGAGTATTTCTCGGAAGCATCCATAAATCAAAGCTCTTCTAATGCAATTTGACTTGTTTGACTCTTTCTCACACGCACACATTCCCACATTCTTTTATATTTCTCCCCCTCTCTTGTTTCCCCTTCTGCCTCTCAACACTGTTTTGTGAGAGCAGGCTGACAAATCCCAGTGGCACCGGCGTGCGAGATGCAGGCTGACGTCAGCGCCAAGCGCCCGCGTTCAGATGTGAATCTTACGCCCGCGGACACCAGCACACACATCGCAACATCTCCCGTGCAAACACTTCAAGCTGCCTGGAATAGAAAGACAAACAGCCCTTTTCACCTTTGAAAGGAAATTTTAGGAGGAAGTAACTAAGAAAGAAAGATCGATTGTTGAGGATTTGTATGTGAATGTACGTGTTGCAGTTAACTAATTAGGTTGCTAACCACTTGAGCATCGTACGATTACATCCTATCCCTTTTGCTGTTTTGCACGACAAGCAGTTTTGTGAATGAGGTCATTTTGTTCGGCTGAGTGTGCAAACATTGCACCCTGAAAATGTGGTGACTTGCTCACACCGTCAGCCTCGTGTGAAATACAAACTTCCATCAGACTGTAAAATATCTACATTTGGGCTCACACATGATAGAATTTTTTCTCAATTGACAACGATACTCCATTTTATTTGAAATCATGTCAGCTGAAGGCTCGCAGAGAAAAATCCTCTGGTTCTCACATGTGAGGATATGTTGCTTTTTCTCTATCATATTTGAGAATTACATTTAAATCTTTGGGTTTTATATACTTATATACTGGCTGTGTGGAGCTATAGCGACCCTTTTTGAGGCGTTTTGAAAACACAAAAATGGAATTCATTAAAAAAATATTTTAATGAATTCCATTTATTAAAAACACCACACCATTTATTTAAATTTGATAATTTTCCATCAAGTTTTCACACCCGGAAAACCAACACTGACTCACGTCCACGTTGAGGGCCGGACCGCTCCCTTCTCACTCACTCACACTCTCAGCAGTTTCTTCTTTTCTTTCACACTTAACCTCATCTAACCCACACATGCAAACGAACAGACGCACAAACACACGCACGCACATACACACAGGCAACCCCTCATTCCACTTTCCTACAACTGTGCCGTGAAGCGCAGCTAAACCTTTCACATCTTACAACCAAGACAAACATATTTATTCATGACTCCCGTCCAGCGAGGGGCGGACTGGTTGACAGGACTGACATATTTCTCGGTCTGGAAGGAGTTTGCAACGCCTTCATTCGGTTGTACAACATGTACTGTGCACTCTGCACGGGCCGTGGAGGACACGCAGTTCCTTTAAAACGTTGCACACATGCCATTGAGATTCTGTCAGCAGACATTGTAAGGTTTATAATCTACCAGCAAGTGTAGACACGAGTAGACCTTTTGAAGAAGGGTCTTATGAAGTTTCATTGTAATTATCAAGCTTAATCCAGCTTGGCGCGTAGCTCTCACAAAGTCTGCAAACAGGAAATAAGCTCCGTCCAACAGCGTTGTAGTGGAGATCACCTAAACCGAGACCAATTTAAGATCAGGACCAAGGCAGGGCCGGTGTGAAGCGCTCACCACATGACACACTCAGGGTATAATGAGGGACGTGCAAATCGGAAAGATACACAGATAAACAAAGATTCATCTTCATTCACTTCCTTCGTTGCCATATATGCTGTGGGACCAGACAAAAATATCTTTACAACATAATCAAAAGGCACAGCAGAGGGGAATTTTATGAGTTGGAATTTTCCTCTGTTTGTTTGTTATGCATCATTGAAATAAAATCCAAAGTCGTTTTTGTCTGAGACAGAGACAAGACATGGTAAAAATGTGGATGGTTCCAAAGCAACAGCTTCCAAATGTCATCCTCCAGTACTTTAACACTGCTCTCCAAAGATTCAAAAACTGGATCATAAAAACAACAATCCACTGTTTTGGGTTTTTTTGTGCCTGACTAGTTCAAAGTCAACCAGAGTGTTATTCCAACAAGGAACCTGTTCTTGATTTTTCTCTTGTCGTAGAAAAAACTACAGATGTGTTTCTCCAATTATTTTGTCTCTTAAATTAGGTGTAAGAAGACGCTGACAAAAGCTCTGAAAGACAGAATGTTGAGCCATGACCTCCTCCTCCTCCTCCTGACGGCTCAACAATACCGTCATTATTCCTTCCCTAGCAGGGTGGGCTTGGATTTTTCCGCGTGAAATGGCATAAACAAAACCACAAAAGATAATTTTATACGATGATGTTGCAATCGTACAAGAGGGACGTTGTCAAAAGAGTTTTGAACCAGCCTCCAACCTGAAAAACAACTGTTTCATCTGAAACCGAGACGAAAGAGAAGCTTGTGCGTTTGGCGTATTATTTTCAAAAACAAGACACAGATCTCCTGAAGATGCACGTTGTCCTCGGACGACATTTTGTAGTGCGGTTATCCGGGAGCACCGGATCCGTTTTTGCCATTTTCAAAGCAGAGTTTTTGTGGCTTAACAACCCGACCGGATAGCTAACTCTGCATGTTGCAACCAGACTCCACATCTGCTGCATCTCGCCCATCTGTGCAGCAGAGAAGTCTGCAGAGTCGCTCCTCAAATCTAATATTTTTAGATCACATGTATCATCTTCCATTCCGAGGTTGCACGAGTGGTTTAAAGTGCATCATAGATCGCCATCAGATCGGTTCAGGTTCTGCTCTGAAGCTTTTATTCAGACGAGTAATGTACCCCACGTCTCTCTTTGTTTCAGGTCTCAGGTGCTCCGCAGATGCGGTGGAGGACGGCACCTGGAACCCGTTGGGGGGGGAGGTGTTGGAGAAGAGACAATGCAGCTCGGTGCACGAGGGCCCGGGCTTTGTCACGGCTGTGGTGGGGAGGGTTCCTGGCACCGTGATTTGATGCACAAAGAAAAACAAAATCACATTGCCAGGGATTTCCACTCCTTCACGGCACCGCGGGTGACCCGCCCGCGTTGTATTTCCACAGCGGGATGCCTTTGTGTTGTCTCCTTCAGACACAAAGTTATCTGAGACTGGATGTTGCTACGGATTCCGAAGGAGTAAATACTGGAGAGGTTTGAACGGGTTTTGTGATCAGCTCCCTCAGTGGATTTCAAGAGGTTAACCAGTTTATCACAAAACTGCAAAAAATGGGTTTAAAGCGTGCAGTTGAATGCGCATATGTCTAAAGATGTAACTGTCTTCACCATTCTCACATTTCATGTCAATCACTCGATGTAAAAGCACACAAGAGCCTACAATTATACATGTTTACACAACAAGTTTTGCCTCTCAGAATTTACAGTAGATTCATTAACAGTGAGACGATTTTCATGTTTCAAATGAAGGACACACTTTAAACATTTTACAAATGTGCCCCGTCAAAGGGGAAGCAGACCTCAACATTAGAAGCATTGCAAAAATGTACCACTGAGCAGTCACGTAAAGGTCGGCGTAGACCTGAATTCGCTCCAAAGCCAGCCCCCCACTTGCTGAAGGCACAGAGCTTAGCTAATTGGTGAGCAGTGATCCCTGCTATGTGTTGTTCACAGTGGCTAAGTTCAGTGCCTGAGGTGAAATAGGGGATTCGACGGAGGGGATTTGTTCGGGTGAATGGAAAGATCCTGATGATCTCGGATATGAAGACAGGAGGAGGAAGGAAGACGGGCGGGGGGAGAAATTACAAAAAAAAGAAAGAAAGCAAAGTAAAAGTAAAGGTTATGATCCCATAAAGGAGCAATGTGGGGTTCATGGTTTAATGGAGCAATACAGTCCAGACAAGCTTTATCGTTTTCTTTATTGTTTGCCTAAAGCAACAACGTCTTATTTTACCCCAGTTATAACCGTAGACAAGAATCTTCATGCATGCCAAATACGTTTGACAGCGCATCACTGAGACAGTTTGAACCAGGTTCAATGTGGACTTAACAGTTCCACAGGTTGTATTTGAGGAATGTGGTGCTAAATGTCAGATCCGTCTGGGCATGCCCCGTTCGTGTCCAACTGTGTTTGCTCAGGGCGAGTGTCCCGGTTTGTTGGTGCCACAGCCTGGACCTTTATGTCTGAGGAGAAGCCTGCGTGCGCCGAGTTCACAGTTTGATAACCCCTCGCAGTGATTGTCAGAGCCTAGCAACCGTTGCTACCCACAGCAGGCCCGTAAACCTTTGAATTCAAAAGCGGTGGGTTGTCGCACAAAGGACAGTCTGCACTCACCATTTAGAGACTTTGGAGATTTCTGTCCTTTTGTAGCTTGTCCAAACACAAGTGTAAAGAATTAAATTAAATCAAGCTACATGTGTTAGGTCATCCGGCTATTCATTAATAATCAATAAAAAATAAACAATAACCCTGATATTCCATGTCCACGTCTTTGGTTTGGATCACCAACCGGATAGAATTGATAACTTTCTGCTTGGGACATGAGCTTTAGCGTTTTAGTTAAATATCCTTTGGTAAAAGGTTTAATAACTGAGTTAGCAATGTTATAAACCTTCAGGAGATGAAATGTTATTTCTGCAGTATCTGCAGTTCACTTTTAGTAATGCAAAGCTGCATTTATCTACTACAGTGCAATTCTGCCACTGCCGTCATTGTGAGTAAGTACCATGCCAGAACACAAAGCACAACAGGAGTTGCAACTGCTGTGCTTGGTCAATTTCCAAAGTGTTTCTATTGTTCTCTGCATGTTGCACATCACATCATCCTTTTTGTTGGATTTAAAGAAACACCTTCCAATGAGGCCGCACGCTGCATTTTCCTCCCGTGCCTACTGAACTGGTATCAGTGTTTTTTCTAAAAACTGGCTCAGTTCAGCAGGAACAGGAGTGGAGTCCATTAACAATCGGGATCGACCGAGTTTGTCATTCAGCTTCGGCTTCACTATTTGCACAGCACATTTCCCTGGGACTTGTAACCTCTCCACTCAACGTGCAGCGAGACAGTCTCGGCTAAGATTCAGCACTTTACTGTGCTCTTGTGTTTAGTTGACCTTAACCAATGCATTGAGTTTGCTTCAAGTCATTGGCCTTGATTAAAATCAAACCTGAGCCGTCCAACCTGTCAGACGACGGCACCGAACCCTGAAGCGTCTTCAAGGGCGGTGCAGCTTGAGTTTCACATGGCTGTCCCTTGCTTTGCTAAAACATGAATATTTCATGAGCAGATTTACCATTTTTTGCTTGATAGGTGGGCCCTGGCGTCCTCAGCCGCTGTGTGAATGCTATTACATACGGATGCTGTCGATCTTGGTGTTGTGCTGCTCAGCCTTCATGTTTATTTCATTATTCTGCAGAAAACACGCCACCCTCTCTCTGTCTGACTCTTTTTTTTCTGCCTTTTTGTGCTGTCAAAGGCCAGACTGTTACTGGAGTTTATGTAGTCATGTAATCCCGGTTAAATATCTGCTGTGTTCGTGTAATGTATGTCACCCAGCAGCCTCCATTATTAGTGATGGGGGACGTGAGCAATGCTGCTTCTTCCGCATTCTACAGATAAATTGCAGCCACCAAAGGAAAAAGCGCATCATCTTGAAGTCTCACACCCGTGGGGGAGTGGAAGGCTTATTACCAAGCACGATGAATCTGCTCTTAACCAGCGACTCCTCTGAGCGTGGTTGGAACATACAATTGTACGTCTATTACCCTGCGGATGAATGTTTCATGCGAACTTGAGATTAGAAAGGTAGGCAGGTATTTTTCATTGATTGGTGTGATTTTTATCCCCGGGGTATTTCATCTACCTGATTGTGGATAACGGTGCGAATGGAGCATCATTCTAAATGTCAGAACAATTCTACTGATTTGGAGCATGATTTATTTTGATATTACAGGTGCAACCAATGTTTCATTTCATTATGAATCCAACTACTATTTCATTTTAATAAAAATTTGAAGAGCCTTAAAAAGAGTTCAAGCATTGTTTTTCTGGGTTCAAGATCATACAATTACATCAACTATTCCTGTGAGGTAAACATGTTACAGTAAAAAACATTTTTAGATATTTGCCCAAGCTGAGAAAACTATGAGGTCATTTGGAAGCTTTAGTAACTTGAATCGCTAAAAATGTATATAATTAAACGTTGTGAATTTGGGAGGTAGCCATATGGGCCGGTCTTGACTCGGATATCAGGTTTGTTATGCTAGGCTCAGTCCATATAGCCTTAATCTTTTAGCCTCAAGCAAAGAAACAAAGTCTGGCGAGTACCCTTCTCTCCGGCTACAAAACCCAAATTTAACCCTTTCAAACTTTTTAGACAATACAGTTCACAGATAATACTGCTGAAACGTTAAAAGATATGAGAATATCCAAATAATATCAAGACTGAGACGATTTATAGTATTAATCTAAATGTTTTGGGGGCACTAGTATGATCTCACAGTTTTTTTTTTGTCAGTTTCAGCAAACAAAGGCTGGACTTGCTGTTTGAGACAAGCCAGTTGCTGCCTGTTTTATGCAAAAACATGACAGAATAGACAGTATTGACTCCTTATGAAAGCAGACACATGCTTCCCAACCCGCAGAGGTTGGGAAAGCTGCAGGCTCTCCTTTTTGGTCTCCATAGCAATGTCAGTATCCCTTTTACCATCAGGCCTCACAGGCTGACCAGATTTCATGATGTGGCTGCTTTATTGAGCCTGATCTGCTTTTGTTGCCCCCTTTTGGCAATCAATCAGCATCCGTGCGGTTCTGGCCTGTGGCTGTGAGCTTGACTACGTAATTTGGTTAAGAGCTGAGCCGGAACATCTGTTCTACAAAGCCCCAGCTCCTTCCATTCCTCGGGGCCTCATGGAAAAAAAAGACGGCCAGCGGTGGAGCCGCCGCTGCATCACAGGACCTCCAAACCAGCACGCCACAACCTCCAGTCCAAACCCTCCCAAGAGTGATCTCAGTAGTGAGCGGAGAAGAGCGACGGGGCTTTGAAACAAATGTGTGATGTGGTGTAGGATTTAAAGGTGGACTGGCGGTGACTGAGTGTGCTTTATTGATTTCATACGTACAGTGGGTTGATTTTTAACTGTGAGACAAAGCGTTTCATTCAGTCAGATGACTCAGATGGAAAATATTTATTTTGTGAATAGAAAGTATGTGCTACTAATATAATATGTGTTATTGGTGTTAGAGTCAGAGATCTGCTGGAATTGATGAAATACTGTATGAAGGTGGTTAATGATGACAGCAGATTGGATTTGTTTTTGACAAACAGCCACAGTCTGGCCATGCTAACATGCTAATAGTACATACATGCTAACCTGCTAAACATAAGCATGTCAACGTTGTCATGTGAGCATGGTAGCACACTTATGTCAGCATTTAATAGCACCGTTTTTCCTAAGTAGTCTACAATCTTACCGGGCCGAGTCTTGTTTTTGTTTCCTGACAAATCCCCTGCAGACAAAACCTGCATCCTCAGTAAAGAAACTTTAGTAAAACTGAAGCTGAATCATCACCCTTGAAACATCTTTCACAACACAATTAGTTAAGTGGTCACGGTGCTCAGCCAAAGCACAAATGAATGAGAGGGGCGATTAGGAAAAGAGGGAAGACTTGCTCACATACATATCCAAGGTTGAGAGCAGAGTCACAGCACATGGCCAACATCCAGCCCTCAAGAGAAAACGTTGTTATTTGTCTCATATGCTCTCGATGAAAGAGGAAGGGGAAAAAAACACGTCATTGTGCTTGTGGCAATTTTGATGGTGTTTTTGCCTCCATCATTTTAAAAGCTCATAACGTCTGCCCTTTGTATCCACTGTCCCACAATCTAAAATCTGATAAGGAGGAAGCAGCTGGGTCCGGAGATGGTGTGTAGACTTTAAGAGGCCTTCCTCCTCCACATGCACTCACACTGGCATCAGAATAAATCTTCCCAGAACGGGGCTCTTTTGTTAAGACGCGGAGGAAAGAAACTGCAGACCAAAGGCAACGTGGCGGCGCATTCCCTTTTAATTAAGGAACAGAACATCCTTCTTGTCTTGAGCTATGCTCCACCTACTGTGTATCTCTAGTTTAGAGACCTGCTGTGTTTATATGAACAACTACAGAGGCATGCATAACTTTAAACTAATGATTAGAAAAGCAAATACATCTTTAATTAGCTCCACAAGCACCAGAGAAGAAGACGGCTGTGCAGGTGACAGAAACCAACACATGAAGAAAAGGTTTGATTTCTGTTTTGCTTTGGACATGCGTTGAGTTAACGACGCTTGGTCTGGGAGCGAGTCCAGTGGGTTGAATAAAGAGAGATTTTCCCGGCTCGGACAATGTGTGTGTTGGTGTGTGTGTTGGTGTGTCTGTGGCTGCGCGTGTATGAATGAATGACAAAGACCAGATAACTCCCGCCTGGCTGTGAACGTCTGGTTCGTATCACCGTGCGAACACATTTTACTGTTGCTCGATGAGTACACAGGTGCAAGTGTATACATTAACACACGTAGACACACATTAAAACAACAAAAGTTCACTCAAACAAAGTTCTATTGTGTTTCTTTTAAATTTGTGTGTTTGAAAGTGAATTATCCAACAATTTTGATATTATCAAATGCATTTGCAACCGAGACATTAAGGTCTTCAGGAAGTGGAAAAACTCTCCAATTTTTTGTAAATTGTAAGAAGAGACAAAGAAAGATCTCACAAGCTCTTACAGTTTTCCATTACTGTGCCACCTATAACAATTGCATGACAACATATTAACAAAATTGTCTTTCTTTAATTTGTGGGGAATTAAAAGTATACGGTTATAAGTAAACGGTAACATTCTGGTATTTATAACACAAAAACAGTAGTTGTATGGCATCAAACTGTAATCCAATATACAGCAACATACCGTATATTACAGTAGGGCACTGTAAATAAAACAGTAAGTTACTAGCGTCGACTGCCAGTAAATTGCAGTTAATTCACTGTAAAATTAAAGTAATTACAGTAATACATTATACGGCAGTGTACCATAAAAAACAACAAATTACTGGCATCCGCTGCCAGTATTTTTCCATGAATTGACTGTAAAGTTCACGCCAATTTACTGTAATCCTTTTTACGGTAATATAGTGTAAAAAACATTTACATATTATACCGTAAAATAACAGTAAATTCCTGGCCTCCTTGTTGCCAGTAAGTTACCGTTAATTTACGGTGAAATTTTTTTTGAGTGAAGGCTAACAATCCCTTGGGGATCAGGTGAGTCAACATGAGTATTCTTTCTTTCTTCTCAAGAAAGTGCCTTATCCATATTGAAAGCATCCTGTGGTCTAAGGTGGATTAAGGCCTCGACTATTGCTAATTCTTATGTGATCAGCTCTTTCAACCGTGACCACTGAGACAAAGCGTTTCATGTTAGTTTTACTGTATGTTGCCTTTTTAGCGGCAGTCTTTCACCAAACATGTCTGGCGCCAAAGAGAAGGACAAATGTCTGGAATATCACATAAGTAGATATAGTAGTAGGGCTCTGTACTGCATGCCCAGCAAATCAATGTGAGCACTTGCTTGAGCGGGTTGTTAAACTAGAAAGTGTGCATTTAGCCATATTTGGGCCCATAGCTGAATCACACGGAAGTAGATTATGCTGCATCAGGAGGTTCAACAGACGTTTCTATAGACATCTTGATGCTCATGAGAGATATCCCTTCAAATTGAGTAGTCCTAAAAACTGAGTCCACTGTAAAGCTGTCAGTCCCATATCTTTGCCGTAAAGCCTTTTATCACTTTGTGTATCTTTCCCTTTAGCACATTACAGTTACAGGCTGATTACAGTTAAAAAAACGTAATAAACACACTCCTTATACATGACAACTGATTTCTTTTCCACATCATTAGTTTTTCTTTTCAACGGTGTTTTGTTATGTGTAGTGTTTTGTGCAGCACATGTCCCACCGAGCTGTCGCAGTGCTGATGGCACACACACACCCACCACCCACCCCCCGTGTAGCTTCACCGACACTACATCATTAGCTGTCTGCTGAACACCTGGAGGCAAAGCCAGCGAGGTAATTATTGAGGGCACAGCCGCGTCCGCACGCAACCATCATTAACCCATCGTACCTCATTTAGAGCAAAGAAAAGGTCTTGTTGTTGTAAGCGGAGACGAAGAGAGAGAACAGCGTGCGGTGCTGATCAGCCCCTGACATGTCAAATATGATACAACAAACGTCTCGAAGGCCAGAGCTAATAAAGCCTGGAATTTGCTGTTGTTTTTTCATCAGGCACCGGACTTGGAGCTGTGCCAGCACCGAGGATGAGAGCGGCTTATCCCCTACTCTTAACTGTGAGGATGCAGGAATTCACGAGACGGGAACACACACACACACACACACACACACACACACACACACACACACACAACCAGCAATGACTTGTTTGCTTCTTCAGCCCAAAAAGAAACACAAGAAAGGATTTTGAGGAGAGCCAGCTTTAGATCTTCACGTCGGAGAAACCTCATGAACGACTTTAGAGAGCGGATTCACACTTTGTGTGCGTGAATGTGTGTTTATGAACATGTTTGTCTACAAAGTGAGTGCACTTCCATCTACAGAACGATTGTGTGAACCAAAGGTATACATTAGCCCTCCTTTACATAGTCATATGTATAAATATGTATAAATCATGATAAAGTCTGTGTATATGTGCATTTGTGTGTGTGTGTGGGAGGGGGGGGGGGGGGGGGGTCGTGACAGGTGAACAGAACGATGTTGAATCTCCTATTGAATGAAGTCGTTTTACTGTTAATTCTGTTAATTATTAATTCTGTATCTTTATCATCCTATCCTATCCGTTTCTATTCATGTGTGATTTACTCTCTGTTGTGTATCAGGGTTTTTTGTGTCTATATTTTGGTTGGATAAGCAAAGAGACTCTTCCTTTCATCAGCACTGAACACAACTTACAAAAGGCTTTGGGGACATGTTAAA